ACAAAAAACGCAACCACGTGCGTCGCTTTCTAATTCGCAGGCGGGGTCTCTCGACGAACGCTAGCGTGTGTCTCTCCCTCGCGCGTTTCATCATCGAAATTTTCGAAATCTTTCTCGAGATTTATTTCGCCTAACCGTTGCCGGAATCAAAATTCTACTCCTATTTTCAACTTCAATTTTCTCACGTTTATATAAATTCTACAAGATTTCGACAGATTTAATTTATGTAGAAATTGTTCCTTACATTTGTACCTCACGAGCGGTAAACGAATGATTTCCCACTGCTAGAGATGTGAAAGAGGAGCTTTTGGCAAAATTATAGATTAAATAATTTCAAAAGAGAGTATTTGCTTAAAATATCAAAGTAGATTCTAGATTTAAATTTTAGATTAAAAGTAGGAGAAGAATTTCTGGTATCGCGACTACGAAACAATACCGGGAGTTTCGAGCGAAAAAAAAAAAAAAGAAAAATAAAACGTATTCCCTTAAGTACGCCATTCATTTGCATATCTAAACTCATTTGTCCTGTTTTCACCTGTACTCGCGATGCTCATCTCTTTTTTATTTTTATGTTTCGCTCTTTCCGTTCCAATTGCTAAGCTCGTCGTCCCGTTCAATGTATGTCCGGTGCGTTCCGGAAGTAAATTCAAAAGGCCATTGTTGCATTTCCGCGTGTCCGTATAACGACGGCTATCTCGACTATCGCGCCTATATAATGCCACGTTATGGTATCATTGTGGTACATTTATTTCCGGGAAAATGATATTGCACCTCTTCAAGCAGATACGATTTAATGACTTAAATTTAATTAGTACCCTGTACATTGCGGGTTACTAACAATAAGTAAAACTTGAGCGCGAAACAATGCATAATGCTATTCGTGTATTTTGCTCACGAAACTGCGGATGCAATTGCATTTCAGAAGCGTTTCTTGCGAGTTGTAAGTTTATGTCGTCAATTATCTCCGCTATTGTCTTTCGCGAAAGAGAGAAAAGAAGGGTGACGACGACGCCATTGTAACAAATGATAATTGCAAAACGAACAAATGAGTTCGTGACAATTAGCGTGTGTACGCTCGGCACCGTAAACGCTTTCACCTTTCATCGAATTCTTGCAATTCATGCTTAATCGAATAAAAGTTCTATTTCGATCGGCAGTGATAATCACGAACACGATATATCGGGAGAGAGCGAGGGCGGTAGAAAAATCAAGCGAACTTGGAAATTTAACACGATTTATAACCGAGAAAATTCCTGAATTCCACTTTTGTATATAAAACAAAAAATAAACCAAAAAAAAATTGCTTTAAATTTTTTATTACTTATATCGCTAAATAAATTTTCGTTGAGCAGAAAAATTCTGCAGGATCAATACGAACAATATAGATAAGGCGTCAATTGCGGTTTTCGTCACATTTTGATTATAATATCTTCCTTCTTAACGCGCGTGATATCGCTATTCTTGGAGCAAGTCGAATCGGAGAAATCTTCCCTCGTCACCGTTCCTATGACGACAAAATGGAAAGGTATGTTCGAGTGCGACGACGAAAGAATCCTTAATCTTCCAACTCCCTCCGAAAGAGCGTATACATCTATACATTGTCGTGAAAAAAAACTCGATCAAAAAAATTGAACTAGAACTAAATATCTTAAAAAAATTGCTCGGTAATAAACATAATAACACAATAATATCACAGATTCAGATCTAGTGACAGTCTATTACTGTTTAGGGATTCCTAAAATTCATAAAAAAGAATTTCCATTACGAGTTATTCTCTCGTCTCCTATATTCTATTGCTAATTTTATTCATAAATATGATTTAATTCCGATAAGTAGTATTTTGTCATGTTTTCTGCAATAATTGTGAAATAAAAAGTTGTAGAAAGAGAGAAAGATAGATTGGTATTGTAAATAGTTATGCTAAATTACATAAAGTTAATCTGAATTTCACATACGGGTCTCGTGTTATCGATCGACAAGCGAAGCCCAACCCGGTGGAAAATTAATTTCCAACGGTTATCGAGATCACGATCGATCGCTCCAGCGGACCGTGCAAGGATTCATTAATTAAGATCTAAATAATCACTCGCGAAGCCGCGCAAGAATCTCGTTGAGGTCGAGCTGGTATGTCAATAGCCACGAATAGACTATTTTCCGACTTCCATCGAGAACGGCGTATGTTCGCGACTTGGTTGCGTCTTAAACAAGATATCGTGGTTTTCTTAAGCCAATTTTGTTTCAGTAAAATTGTGATTAAATGCTTTAATATACAATAGAGTATTCGATAATAACGGGATTTCCATATTAATCGAATTATTTCACGAGATGCGTATTTTCTCTTGTTCTCTCTGCATATCCGGTACTCTCTCGATTTGTTCTCCCTTTCGCCAAACTAAAATGTATTCCAACAAGAGACATCACTGTTAGCCAACATTCTCCTAATCGTTGAAACTGATAATATTCATTGATATAGTACGTATCGCGCAGTTTACATGCTTGAAAACACACAGCTAGAAGTTGTTACGTTACTCGGCTGCATCTCTACCAAGACTTAATCCACCCCTTCCTACACTTGGTCCTACCAAACGCATAGACGGTTATGCATAAAGTTATCTCATCGTTTAAATTATGTATTATATGCGCCGCTATTAAGTTGAGAAAGCTGAAACTCGAAAGTTTAACTCGAAAATGCCGGCCCATTAATAAAGAGGCGATTAATAGCGGCAAGCAACATTTTCTTGTTACAGATATTTTAGCGACCGACCCCGATATAATTAAAACAATACATTCCAAACAACGCGAACGAATCTCTCTGCAGAGACCTCAAACTTTGTCGTGGTTTCACGAGATGAGCGCTGCAAAGAGGATTGCGAATACAAGCGTAACCATCACCGCTTGGCGTGCTTGTAAATAATCCGCAAATGCCGCTCACCGTATAATTATATGCATATTCGTTCGTACGCGATTCGGTAGCACGCAAGCATTTCCGCTCCGACTCGGTCACGCGATTGGAAACCGACCCACTAGGAAATATCTTAACATCAAAGAACATTCCCGCCGAATGAACGTGCGTTCCCTAAATTGCCGCAAATATTGTTCTCGGAAGTGTCAAACGAAAACTTCGACATCTCGAGGCCTCGAATCCTGTTCATCCTCTTTCTACGAATCGATGGAACGAAGAGGATTTTGTCGTTGTAGAGAACAGAGAGAAAAAGAGAGGCGAATATAGGTGTAATAGGTAATTTCAGACTCGCGGCACAGAAAATGGAAACGGTTAAGGCCACTCGCAATGATGTACGTGAACGAAGGGAGGTTGCCAACGAACAATGAGACAGAGAAGAGGAGATGAGACGGAACAGAGGGACGGTCGAACGAGGTGGCCGCTTCATCGCGCCGGGAAATCAAAACACGAAGGACAAGATGACGGGAAAAACAGGGAGCTTCTCTCAGCTTCTCGCGTGCATAACACCCGGCGCATGAATTAAACATACGCTGTTCGCGATCCGGACGACGAGCAAACGCCGGGAAGCGTGGCGTTCCCCTCGCGGCAGGGCGTGAAGGGGGAGGGAATGAAAAGACGACTCGGTGAAATTGGTGTCGAGCGAGGGAAAAGACGCTCGCGCGAGGCGGAAGAGGACAGTTTCGTGCTTATGTATTCGTCGAGGGTCTCGGGCAACCGCTGAACTGTCGTCAAGCTTCCAACGTTTTGACGATACGGCCGGAATATTCAATTAAATTAGATGCATATAAAGAGACTTGTAAACCGCGCGTAGGCGCGGTAACATGTCGTTGTCGCGACATTGACAACGATGTCGATCTACTTGCGATTCGATTTGCATTATCTGCACCTCGGGCAAAGTTCGCGCGGGGCATCTCGCACTAGTATCGACTTCGATACTAGTTTATATTCGACCGTGCAACCGCCCGTGTCTCGAGCCGCCGGGCTCCTGTTCGATGATTGGAAACACAATAGAGAGAGGAGAGAGTTTACGAGGACCATATCGAAACTTGCCTCTAACGATGGAACTCGAAACTCACCCTTGCGAACGACCACCGCGTCCGCGACGACCTCAGCCGTCACCCGCCGTCTACCCCTCCCCACTATCGCTCTTCTACCCCCCGTGCTCGTTCGCCTTCGGCTATCTCCGCCCGCGATCGGCCGCCGCGCAACCCTCTCCAAAGGCGGACAGGGATGACCGGGGTGCGACCAGCGGAGAGGGCGCGGCCGAATGCGGGCAGAGGGGTGGGAAAGAGACGAAGCGAGCGCTTACGACGAGGACGACATATCCCCGTGGTTTTACGACCCGATCATCGATGAGAAGCGAAAAGAGTTTCCGTCGAGAATATATGAGGGGAGACAGAAGAGGACAAACGCGTATTTTCGATCCTCTCTCCCGTCTCTCTCTTTCTCTTACTCCGGGTTCGTTGCTGGCGCTACGTGCGTGAGACACATGAGTGTATGTTTGTACACATCGGAGAGAGCGCCGTGGGGCTCGTACCTCGAAGAAAGGGAGCGCGAGTAGGAGAGACAACCAAGATCCTTTCACACACACACACACACACACACACACACACGCGCGCGCGTATATATAGGGAGATTCCCGTATAAAGACCCGCGTATATATATATACATACATACATACATAGTCAGCACCGGCGGAGGGAGCCGATGCACCACCACCGGGATTCCCCGAACGTCCTCCCCCTCCCATCATCGGCTCGGATCCTTTTCTCGCTCCAGCTCTCCCTCTCGCAATCTTCTCTTTCCCGCGCGCATGTTTTCCCCGCGTACGCTCTGCCCCCCCCCCTCCTACCGCCTCCTCGTTGCCGCTCTAACTCTCTCTCGCGCAAACGCTTTGCTCGCATTCTCCCCACTATTTGACGTCCCCATATCTCTCTCTCTCCCTCATGTCCGTCGTACGTTTCCATCCCTTCCTCTCCCGTCTCTCCCACCCCCGCGGAAATATGCTCGGCGTAGCAGCGACGACGACGACGGCGGTGGCGGCGGCGGTGTTGCTGCTGCTGGTGGTGCGTGCGCGCGCGGTGCTGCCTTAACGGCGTATCGGTGCGGACGGTGGCTTTAGACTCGAAGCTGCGGAAGAAGAGCCGCGAGCTCGGCCGTGTTCCGATGGCCTGATACATATTTGCGGAACGCATTCATGAAGCTCCACTGCCCTGACTCGTCGAGTGAGTAGTACACACAAAGTTTGTGACATTTCGTTGTTGTGCCGCGGTGATCGCCGAACGAAACTGCGTCGAGGGGGTGAACGCGAAGGAAGGGTAAGGGAGGGAGAAAGTTCTCGCGGACGCGCCGCGTATCGGTAACCCCTCGACGTGCAAACCTTCTCTCCCTCACGTTTCCGTTCTCCCTTCCTCTCATCCGCGAGAGAGAGAGAGAGAAAATATTCTCCGACGGTAGCCTACGGCGACGACGACGACGACGACGACGACGAGGACGACAAACGTGTCCGCGTTCCCGAGAACAGACGACCGTCGTGCGACACCACCAGGAACGTCGTACTCCGATCGTCCCTCCTTCGTGGCGACCGTTAAATCGGCGTGGGTCGATCGAGAGCCGGGGAGAGTAGGGGGAGGAAGAGGCGATATTTAGCCGGCGGAGGGAACAGCAGGAGAGAGAAAGAAAGAGAGAGAGAGAGAGAGAGAGAGCGCTTCCACCTCGAGGCCGATTAACAGTTGGCCCGAGGGACGCGAGACGATCGGAGTCGGTTTCTTCGGAGCGGCCGTGGTGAGCCTCGGCCGAGGCGCAATAAATATCGACCACCGGGAATATGGAGGCTTAGCGATGCGAAAAGTGGACCATTCGATCGGGGGCCACGTCATATCTCCTAGCGCATTGTCGTCGCACGCGTCCGTCGTCGAAAAGGCGCGAGATGATGCACCCACGATCGCGACATGTGCACATTCCCGGGGG